AAAGCAGGATATGTTTTAATGAAAACAAACAATGAATGTATTATTTATTCTCCTGCTCATACAAAGATTGGTGAAATACATGTACAAAATAACTTGTATATGATAGTTTCTCATCATAATAAATGATCTATTAATGCAATCACTATTGTTGATTTACATCAACTAATGGGTCATGTTAATTTTGATTACTTGTACAAACTCATACAAGAGTATCCTGAGATTATAAGTCAAAGGATAACAGACAATAAAAATACACAGTGTACAGATTGTATCAAAGCAAACATACAACACAATGAAATACCAAAAATACAAACAACACCTCTTGTACAATCCTATAGAGATTATCTCCATATTGATATATAGGGACCTGCCCTAGTACAAGCTTACAGTAAGTATGAATATCTTTTTACCATTGTAGATAATGCTACACAATGGGTAACTATACTACCTATACAGTATAAAAGTAATGCTTTCACTGAATATGTAAAGCATACAACAAAACTCTTTACACAGTACAGTATAAGAGTTAAAACTCTCTAAAGTGATAACAATACAGTGTTCCTAAGTAAAGACTTTACTATGTACATTGAAAGTCAAGGAACAATACATAGATTAACAGTACATGATACACTACAGTAGAACAGAGTTGTGGAATGTATACATAAGACTATCTTTAACAGCATATGTATGTGTCTGTTATTAGCAAAATTACCTATGAAATTCTAGGTATATACAGTACAATATCAAACGTTTATTCATAACAGAACACTGAGAGTTGTTATTAATTTCACAACACTATATTACAAACAGTATAACAAACATTATCAAATAGATAATATACAAGAATTTGGCACATATTGTATCATACAGAACGAACAAACACATAAACTACAACCTAGAGGCTAACACACACAATAGCTAGGTTATGATAACAATAGTAAAGGTTACTTAGTGTGCCATAATAATAAAATTACTGTTGAACACAATGTACAATTCATAGACAAACTAATGTTTAGGATTGAAGGGGAGAATAATCATAACAATGATACATCAAACAACAATGAAACTCTTCCTAATAACAATAATAAAGATAAAGAACCTGTCATACAATACTCTACACAAGAGTAACAACTGGTTAAACAAACTATAGGTTTAAATTACAAAGACAATATAAACCTAGCTATGTATCTAACAGAATTTAACAAATTCCTCAACAAAGTCTATAACAATCCATTAACATATTACAATGCTATAACATGTATAGACAAAGAACAATAGATTAAAGCTATGAAGGATGAAATACAGTCACTTCAACAACAAAACACATGAATATATACTATCCCCCCTATGAATACAAATGTAATTGGAACAAAATTTGTCTATAAAATCAAAAGACTGGCTAACAGCCAAATAGACAAATATAAAGTACAATTTGTAGTACAAGGATACACTCAAAAGAATGGAATAGACTTCTATTCTGACAACTTATTTGCTCTAGTAACAAAACTATCAACAGTACAATTATTGTTATCTTGGACAGTATCTAAGAACTACAAAATACATCAGATAGATGTAAAATCTGTATATCTTTACAGAGAATTAAATGAGGACAAACTCATTTACATGAAACCACTACTAGACAGACTACTTACAGATATTAAACCTGGACAAGTGTTACACTTAAATAAAGTGTTATACAGATTGAAACAAGTAGGTAGACAATAGTACAAGAAGATTACCAAACTACTGCTTAAGATCAGATTAGAATGAGCTAATTATGATTATACTGTATTTTACAAGAAACGAAATAATAAAACAATTCTTGTAACATTTATACATGTTGACAATATTACAATTATTAGCAAAACTATTGCTATAATAACAGTATTTAAACATGCATTAAGACAACACATTACATTTACTAATAGTAACAAAATACATTGGTTACTTGGTATTGAAATAAGCTGAGATAGACCTCAATGAATGATTAGCTTATAGCAAAAGCATTATATTGAAAGTATAATCAAGTATTACCACTTTGAAAACGAAAAGGCACTATGAATGCCTATTACTCCTGGAATAGATCTATCTAACAATACAAACAATATGTACAATACAAACGAAAGTAATAATGAAACAATGCCATACATAAATATGGTAGGATTGTTAAGATATGTTACAGACTGCACACAGCCAGACATATCCTATATTACTGGGCAATTAGTATACTACTTACAAAAGCCCTAAATGTATCACTACAAAGTAGTGAAACATTGCTTTACATATTTAAAATATATAACAAATTGTTGGCTTCAACTTGGAAGCACAAACACCTTAAAACTATAAGGCTATTGTGATACAGACAGACAAATGACAGAAGGACATAAAGTAATAAACAGCTACATCTTTCAATTAGCTAAATCAACCATATCTTAGTCAAGCAAACAGTAAAACCTGGTACCACTATCTGTTTACAAAGCAGAGTTGTAAGCACTAGTGTATACTACTCAAGAAGCCATTTGGCTCAAACAATTTGCTGAAGAAGTACTACAAACTGAATCAGCACCCATTATGATTTATTACAATAATCAAGGTGTAATAAAGACTGTAAAGTCTGACAAAATAACATACAATGCTTGCACTAAACATCTTGATTTACAAAAAGACTTTGTGCAATGTTACATTCAAAACAAATACATTAATGTATACTATGTTCAATCACAGAACCAATTAGTAGACATCCTTACAAAGGCTCTCCACATCCTACAGATCAAGCATCTAAACAAACTATTAGGCATACAGTCTTAGTTCTTAATTAATGCTTGAAGGGGAGTATTAGATTGTGCTCTGGATTAGGAAATCCCTAATTGCCTTATGTAGAATTACTGCACTTGGAATGTCTCAGATTATTGGACTTCACTATGTAGTATATAAGGTAGATACTTGCTTGATGTCTCAATAAGAGAGAGTACTTGGGGCACTCCTGCTACACTTGTTAAAAGCTACCTTTGACATAGATGCGTCTTCAATGGGTATCTGTACATAGCCCATCGTACAGTATTCGTACTTAGTGTTTGGTGAAATATGTCGGTTGCATGATGAGAGGAAGCAAGTCCTGCCTGTCTATATCACGTGCCAAGAAATCTAAGCACCGGTCCATGAATCATCTCGCATGATGTTTTGTCTTCCTCCATCACGTCCATCTTCTCAACTCAACAACACACATGCAATTAGTATGAGGCGCAGCGCGTGTTAGTAAAGAAAAGTAACAATGAAAAAGCACACTTAAGGCAAGATTGGTTGATGCTAGACTCTCAATACTATAAGCAACCACAAGTCCACAACTGCTTGGCAGTGCTTGCTTTGAGAGGACCATAATGTCACTATATGTGTCCCTCCTACTTTTACATTACCTGCAACTTAGTAGAAACTTCACATATGTTTGCTTCAAGAAGTGATTCTGATAAGCGAGAATTAGATTTATTTAGATGTTAGTACTGTAGATCCTGAACTGCACTTGTACAATCAAGGACCGGGATACAATGGCTTTTCATTCACAACCAGGTATGAGCTATCTGCATTACACTGTGGTACAACTGAAGACTGGAAATACAAATACGATAAATTATATAGCAGATGTTAAGTATACCTTAGATCAATAAAGATCAATTTGTTTGTCCAGAAGGAAATAATGACACTATGTCATTACTATGGCTCTCATAGGTTTGAATGGAACCCTGAGGAAGGATCACTGCATCGACACGTAACTTTTGTGTCCGAGTCGAAGCACCTTTAGTCTGGAAAATAAGTCTGTTGCAGCATATACTTTGGACGGCTGCTTGTGGTCTATGGCAAAGACAATTAATATGTTTGAAAAGGCTTGGTAGAGAGGACATACATAGTGAGAATGTTGCATATTGATGGTGATGTCACCTTGAACACAACCATGTTCATTGCTGAAATACCTACAATTCAAAACTATGAATGTCTCAGAACAGGATACTCGGAAATCGTCCTTACTCAGTATCACAACAAAATACAAGATACCTAAAAAGTGCAACATGTTGACCGAATTCATATTAACTTCAAGGAGGAGCTAGTTCGGAGTTCCTTACCATTACTAAGGATTTGCTGCATAATCATTGATTGATTGTGGCATTTGGACTAGGTTCTAAAGTTAGATGGCTCGGGGAAAGTGATATTTGGCCGACTAACCAGCCTTCACCACCACAGCCAGGAGAGCAACTGGAAGTAGAAGCAAAAGTTATAGCAATCGTGTCGAAATAACGGACTTTAAGGACTTGCTCTCACCTACTTCTGAGACAACAACACTAATCACAGCAAACGCGTCAATGTGTCCTCTAAATTTATTAAACATCCTGTAGGAAAGATGGGTACATCGATGGCTTATGTACAAGTCAGATTACTGTTTCATATCTATGTAGTAGCCCTTACTGACCGGTGGCCGATTTGAGGTATTCTCCTGTGAAATACAATCCAGGAGTAAAGACTGCCTGTAAAAACAAGACAAAAGAGTCAGCTTATCGACCGTTATGTATGGAGTGGCCTACAAACCACGACAATAACTACAATTGCGAATAAGACGGTCCTTGTGCGTCCCCAAACAGCGTATGCACGGGTATATAATATGACTAATCTACATCAGGAAAATGTCACATTTCTTGTAATTTCTTATAGACCTTGTAAAGTAACATGTGTATTGTATATACATTGTAAAGTAATTGTAAGGTTTGTACATGAATTGTAACATTTAAATAAGACATATTAATGTATATAAAGACTACATAAGTACTAAGGATGAATAAAATCTATTACATGTATTATACTAACTTTGTATGATAACCTAAAGTATTATGCTTGTATTACATTTAAATTATAATCTTTAAAAAAGAGTTATATTTATAATATAATAATGTAATAATAACTATTGTTATCTTATAATTTATGCAAAAGGTATATTAATGTATATAATAGTGTAAGAGCACTTGTTGTATCCCTATTATCTTAATAAAAGTATACTATAAGTATATAATATGTACATTATACTTAGATTATCTTGGGCAACTGATACCTAACTTGCTTATGTAATCAACGGCTGAAGATCGAGAGCATATAATGACGTCACTTATGCGT